ATTGCTCTTCCGACCATGACTTCACATAACTATGAAGTTGCTCTTCCGACCATGACTTCATATAACTATGAAATTGCTCAACATGAAAACAAAAAGTGTAACATCCACTACAGCTCATCATAATCCTTGAAACATTTAAATGGTCACAGTGATAATCCTGAAGGGATAACGGTCAAGTGGCAATTAGCATCCCCTTAAAAATGAAATTTGCCCCATCATATTTTCATTTTCTTTCAATTTCAAAAGGATTCATCCCTCTTTATTCCTATAAGGATTAACAATTGATGAAATTGACCTACATCTCCGAGTTCTTAGGATGTTCCCTATGATCATGCCTGCACAGACTGTCACCTCGTCAAAATCATCATTATAGATGAAATCTTTGTATACAATATACATGATAGCACTCATGTAGTATTTGGCTACATGTTATGTTTTATGTATATTTGAACATGTATCCACATATTTACAACCATAGCTGGAAGGTAACAGAGTAGTTCTATGCAAATAGATTTCCCGTTGACAAAAGTGCTTTTAGTGTAATCATTTTTTCTAAGGGTGGATCAGCGTGGTTTACAGACATATTTACAGTTTTGTAATGCATAGTATTTTTTCCTGATAGGAAACTTTCCTCTCAGTCACACTGAGATCTATATATATAGAGCTGAGTCTTAAATCTACAGCTTTTCATAAAGTGAAAGCTGTTTACAGTCACTACCACAAGGGGTCTATCAATGGTTCTAAATATAAAAATAAGTAAAACCAGTTATATATCCAACCAGCGAAAGCGAGGCTTAAGTTGAAAACTTGTTTACTTCAATTACTCAAATGGGTCTGCTTTGTTTTATGGAGTTCAACGTCCTTCCAACGGCAAGGGTCATATGAGGTCTGATGGATCAAAAAGTAAAAACTTTAAAAATTACACATCAGCAAATTCACTAGCATAGTAGATGTTATTTACCCAGACAACATCAGAACCTAATATAAGTTTCTGATAATCAATGTTTCTAATATTGTAATAGCAGTACGGGTGACTGGGTGGCACAGTGGAAACACTCACATTTCATCTAGCCATCAAGAGTTTGATTTTAAAAAAAAGATGTGAAAAGGTATGGGGTCACCTATCCAACCACCTGAGTTTTCCTTAGATATTCCAGTTTCCTCCAGCAATAAGACCCCTGGTATGTTTCCATTACCACCAACAAGAGATAAATATCAGCTGATAGCTTGTTTCACAATTGTTGTAAAACAAATGAAGTTTATATATTATATAAATAGTAATAGCATATATCTCTTTTTGAAAATTTGACTTCAGACTTATCATTTTTACCTTATAAACAGATACATCACCATGGATAGTCTTTTTCTACTTAAAATGAGGAATATTTATAAGTATCTTCTCAGAATTAAAGGGAAGACATGTTTGATTTCTTTCTTAATTTTAAGAAAACTTTTTTCTTTTCACTATGAGAGAAAGTCTCTTTTACCTGTAAAACAGCAACAAGGGGAGGGAGAATGTGATAGCCAATGTAGGGTTTGTAAGCTATTGGGTCCTTTCTATCTGGTGTTGATGGATCACCATGTCATGATTATGAGCAGTAAGTGAGCACAGGTATGCATGTCTCACTGATAACACATGTTTCTTGTACAAAATTTAATAGATGCCCTTTAAAAATATCAGTATACCTGTATCAAGTAGAGTTCCCTTCAGTGAATAAGTTCTCCATCAGTTCCTAACAACATTTCTCATATTTCACCAGAAATGCAAATCCTCATTACCACCAAACAGCAAATTTGAACTGTGCTGACAATGACACTAATGCAATAATGTAAATTGTCTTCTGTCCAATTATAAAAAATCAACCTATATCAGTACATCTTACAAATAACAACAAACTTCAAATACAAGAGTGTAAGCATTGGCCATTTTACTATCTGAGCTAATTTACATTCTTATCCTATGCAATAATACCGCCACGCCTATGTGACCTTGATATCAAACTCTTATTCACAATTTACATAGAGGGTAATCAGCCTAAAGGTAGCTACAGGTGACTTGATCTAGTCCACTTTTCCCCACCATCCATTCCTCTATTGATTACATTCATGTGGAGTTATTTTGCTTATGTTTACAATAAAACAGCACAAAGTTAAAATACACCTGTGAGTAACATTCTGTTCCAGTCTTTGTTATTTCAAGTTTCATCTTGTTGGAAAACTGATTAAATGAACTTGCATGATTTGTTAAAGGGAATGATGCTTATTTTATATGGGGTAATCACATATATTAAGCTTAAGAAGTCATATCTCATGTTATCTTGTGATAAGCAAAGAAGGCAAACATACAATGTCACATTAAATATTAGGGATGTTGGGCTTATTGTAAGACAATTAAAAAAGCACTTGTGTACAATTTTATTGAACAGTAATTAGGTTTGCTTATTATCAGACATGTGCTGGATAATTATGGTTTGTATCCCTTCTTTATATATACAGATATTATCTAAACTGAAAGTCTTTAATCATCCCAAACAGAATGAAGTTGAGTTACTCACACTTTCTAAACAATCCATGCCAGGAAGACACTGACAATCATTAGAAGGCATTTCAGTGTATGACCCTGTTACAGCAAACATACTAAGAAAATATTAATTTTCTTATTGGCTGAGTACCCATATTTTGTGTGATTTAAATTAATATACAAATGGCATATTTCAATCATATCATTTACAAACTAGATAAATGCATGGCACCCAGATTTAAATGTTGAATATCATATTGGTAGGTCAGTTTAGTGAGCAACCCTTTACAGGTCTCAAAAAATGCATATATCCTCTTTCCCAGTAAAAATTCCTCAGGGTGCGTGCCAACTAGGGACAGACAAAGGTGTGCATATTGGGTTGAATACACTTACTAGGGGTGGGTTTCACATGGTTTAGATACATTAATTTGGTTAAATAATGTAACTAGGGACCGATTTTGGGTGTGTTAATTAGTTCAAATACAGTAACTGAGGACAGGCATCATGTAAGCTAATTAGGTGAATATTGTCAAATTAATAAGTACAGATAATGATGACAATGTAGTATGACAACTCTCAAATACACAGTCCACATTTTCATATCTTTTATGAACAAAACAAAAAAAATATAAAAAAAATTAAAACAAATGGACATTATAAAGTATATCAGACATTGTCTTGGTTATCTTCCTTATACATATAAACATCAGTCATAATCAGCAATATATAACTATGTCAATATGGCTCATACACACAACTGTGATAAGGTGAGCAACTACACCCCTGCAAGGTCATCAAAAAACGTGCATGTTATCATAATTGGAAGATTACAAAAATTTTACATTTGGTTAACCACTCGCATGAAAATATAAATACACGTACTATCTACATATCACGAAACAATCCAATCAATTTGATCGATGTTGGTTTTATGATAAAGGGATGACAGTACTGTGACAAAGAACTCTTTGTTGAGCAGGAGAAACATCTTTTACTAAGTTAAAGAATCCATGGACATGATTAAAATGATGAACAAAAGGCAATAACTCTTTATAAAGTTGTGAAATTGTAATGCTGTTCAAGGAATGTATAAATGCATGTCAGGATGTTAAAGCCTGCCATGTTTTACTAAAATTAGTCAAAATTGAAGAAGATATACATCGCCAATGTCCTGATAAAATGAAAGTGCTAACAAAGGGCACTAACTCTTGAACTCTTGAAAAAATTATAGAATCAAATTGTTCCTCAAAAAGCAAACATTCATGGTGAAAAAGCCTACATTATTTTGTCGCAAAGAAAATGTTCAAAACCTGAAAGAGATGATTCCCTGATAGACAAGATGGCAACTGTATGCCCCCTCCCCCTATAAAAAAGGGGGGGGGGGGCATTAACAAAAATGTACAACTGACAATATTTCAAAATATATAGATATGAAAAACTGACAGGTTTTGCCAATAAATCATTCAACAGTTCATTTTAACTGTTATATTCAAGATTTATTTCAGCAATAAATATATAGGAATATTCCAGCAAAAAGTCACCAAACATTTTTGTATTCATATCAGAGACATATATGTACTGGTCCTAGCTATAAGTGCACACTGTTTTTACACAACGCCAATTTTTTCTGTCAAGTTTCAGTCAGTAACAGCAAAATTACTTAAATGCCAAGGTTGACTCCTAGTACCATTTATCTAATGCTCTGTATGCCTGGAAATTGACTCATCTTGCCAAAGAAGTGTTATATTTAGAAAGTTTATGGTAATAGCAAAGGCACTTATATACAAGAGGTATATACATACATTTTTTTCACCTGCATATTAAGTGATGAATTTACATGTAAGTCCCGAATCCTATATTCAAAATATTTTCATGTGACTCATAGAATTTCTAGAAATACTTTAGTTTTCCATTGCGGGACCCACTGTTTTTAACACTAAAGTTGAAAAGGCCTCATTAAAATAAATTGTAAATTGATCACTGAATAACTTTTATAATAGAGTGTTTGTGATAATAGTATATCTCTTATATTACTATCTAAAAGCTTACTTATTGCGATATTGCTACCTAGTATTACAGTTCAATTGTAAGAACCGGCAAACATGACCCCAACGAAGAAGTTTCAGACCCTCCCCCTTTCGCCGGTTTCACATTACACGAGGCTGTCACGCACTATGTTACATGTCAAAGTACGCCATATAGAACGATGGTTACCTCACAAATGTTATCGTTGGTTACTCATACTCTGATAATCATATAATCTCAAAAATTCCATATGGTTTCATATGCCGGTGGCGGTGTCGCAATATCTTAGGCCAAAGGCAAAGTGCTTCAGAACTCATACCGCTGCAACACCCATTCGGCGAGATTGAGCAGGTACTTTTCAGGCATAAATTAAACCTGCCATTAAAATACAAATGAAACGATAGCAAAGCCATTTTTTATAATAATTTCCATGCATGTCAAATTGTACACTTACAGTCAAGATGCTTCTTCTTAGGGCCCATAACCTCCTCCGTGGTAGCCTTACAAACCACCTTGGCCAGCCCCTGCCCGGCTATGCTATGTCTGGCCGCTGTCATGCGGTCCATGATGCTTTGTCCAGACATTTTGAGAATCGTTTGTCTTATGTCAGTCGGAGTAGAACAACTACGGGTCAGTTCTGACCCCTAAAAGGGTGCAAGACGCTCCTCTGATACCAAGGAAAGGGGTGGATGAGTCTTCCAATAATCCAAGATGGCCGAGCTGAATAACATCAATTGTCACGTGACAGGGACCATTCATTTTACTGTCAAAAATCAGTTCGACTAGCATGAATTAACATACATTCTCAAGATGCAAGCCAGACTCTCATGAAAAAGAATAAGCAAAAAAATAACAAGAGTACATGTTTCTTATCAGCTCAGACATACATTTTAAAACATGACAAAATATTGATAATTTCAACATAGCTGAAGAAGTGTCCATATTTTCATCCGCAGCATAACATCGCAAGTCATAACTCTAGCTCCCCTCTACCATTGTATTATTATTCTAATAGATAATGCATTTTAGATGTACTCCGTGTTCTAATGCAGTATTGCGAAGATCATCATCATCATCATCATCATCATCATCATCATCATCATCATCATCATCATCATCATCATCATCATCATCATCATCAACATTATTTTATTATTCCGTTTAGAAATATAATTAAGATACGGTAATAATATATTCCTTTACCAAGGCGCACAAACTGACTAGATAAGAACTCCTAACGAACTTAAAAGAGTCCAACCATTCCAGTTGGCAAGTTATTTAAATCATTGATAGGGGGCTCGGAAACAAATCCCAAATACGATGAAAATGACAATGATGATGATGATGATGATGATGATGGTGATGATGATGATGATACTTGATGATGATGATGATGCTGATGATGGTGATGATGATGATGATGACCACTGCACCACCATCGTATAGAAATAACATTATTTAAATAAAAAAATAAATAACCACGATGATTAATAACTCCAAAATAACTGTATGAACGATAGAGTTATTTCCCCTCCAGTGTGATACTAATGGTTCAAATCTCAGATTCAGCAGCACGAAGGAAGGGAGGTAACAAGAGCATAACAAATTGACTTCAGTTATTCCACTATGCAGACAAATTAAGATGAGAGAAGTATATAATGTATATACCTGTTATATACGTCTCTGGTGAGATGTACAAATAACACGACATTACAGATCTATCAGAAAAATATGCATTATCTGGTTTTTTTTTTTTTTTTTGTTAATCAGCAAAACGTGATTCATATTTCGTTAATTCATCTCGTCATAATTTTTTTTTCAAAACAGATGCTCCTCATTTATGATATATATCAATTTGGCTTCATAGACACCCTCGTTCTTCATTTTTGTTTTGTTTTCATTCGATTTGTTTTTTTTTAAATACAGCTGAATGGGAGAACCAGTTAAAAATCATTGAATCACTTGTCAGAACCTTTACAGACTACCAATAATAAGGACTAGCTAGAACCATTCGAATTCCTTATCAGTGAGGATTAGGTATACAACTCCTGGAATGGTCAGAACTATTCAGAATCCATCCGCAGTAGTTAAGGCTAGTCAAAACTAGTCAGTACTACTCAGAACTTGTCAGGCCAGTCAGAGTTCCGTCAGAGTCTTGCGCTAATAAGTTCTTAGTATGGTCTGGTTAGACCCATACCAAATTAGGGCTAGTTTGAACTCCTCCGGACTAATCAGGACATAAGGAGTAATCTGCATGTCACGTGATGGATGTTTCATGAAGGTATTGCCCGTATCATCTGGCACTTTCACCGCGAAAATTAGTTATTTCTTGTGATGAGTAAATGCTTACTTAATCGATCGCCTTTTCACTCTTAAAACAAAAAAAGATTTGACATCCACAAAACTGCTTAGGTTATGATGTCCAGTGAATCGCTTTCGGTGAATGGACAACCACGACATGGCGAAAATAATGCCCAAAATAACGTTGATATACATGTAAGCATCTTAATTAAGTTGTTTTACCCAACACCCTTCAATACAAAAGTGTTGGGGAGGTTAAAACTCAATTTTGATTTTCTTGGGATAAACTATGGTGGCTGATTCGGGACATCGTAATATCGCTTCGTTAAATGGGAAGCGAGATTGCGATATCACGATAGAACGGTGCGATACCACGATACCACGATGCGATAGCGCGATGCGATACCACGATATCGCATCGTGCTATCGTGGTATCGCATCGTGATATCGCAATCTCGCTTCCCATTTAACGAAGCGATATTACGATGTCCCGAATCAGCCACCATAATAAACAGAAGTATTTAAGATATAACGGACAGTGGAATATTGTATTGATAAGTAAGTGTGACCGATTCGTCTGCTACAACACTTCCGTTAATGTCCACAGAGATGATGAAGGCGACAGCATTGTCAACCATATGTGTCACTCGAGGACACGATTGCAGGAAACTCAAGAAGAAATACTGTTTACCATGTTTTATTAGATTTAGAAAAAGGCGACCAGGAATACAAAGTCATTTAAAAAAACGAAGTCGGAGAAAATGTGGCCGGGCACCATGGGTTGACACACCATGTTGTCGGACACCATGGGTTGGCACACCAAGTGGTAGGACACCGTGGGTTGAAACACCATGTGGTTGGACACAATGTTGTCAGACACCATGGGTTGACACACCATGTTGTTGAACACCATGGGCTGATACACCATGTGGCTGGACACAATGTTGTTAGACACCATGGGCTGAAACACCATGTGGTTGGACACCATGGTTTGCCACACAATGTGGTCGGACACTATGTTGTCAGACATCATGGGTTTACACACCATGTTGTTGGAAGCCATGGGTTGACACACCATGTGGTTGGACACAATGTTGTCGGACACCATGGGTTGACACATCATGTGGTTGGACACAATGTTGTCAGACACCATGAGTTGACACACCATGTGGCTGGACACAATGGGTTGACACACCATGTGGTTGGACACAATGTTGTCAGACACCATGAGTTGACACATCATGTGGTTGGACACAATGTTGTCAGACACCATGGGTTGACACACCATGTTGTTGGAAGCCATGGGTTGACACACCATGTGGTTGGACACAATGTTGTCGGACACCATGGGTTGATATATCATGTGGTTGGACACAATGTTGTCAGACACCATGAGTTGACACACCATGTGGCTGGACACCATGGGTTGACATACCATGTGGTTGGACACAATGTTGTCAGACACCATGGGTTGACACACAATGTGGTTGGACACAATGCTGTTAGACACAATGGGTTGAAACACCATGTGGTTGGACACCATGGGTTGACATACCATGTGGTTGGACACAATGTTGTCAGACACCGTGAGTTGACCCACCATGTTGTTTGAAACTATGATTTGACACACCATGTGGTGTTTGTAGCGACTAAACAAGAAAAAGAGAAGAAATGCCAAATCGTGATAACGGATTTAAACGGAAGGGTAGAGAAACTAGAGGAGAGCATAAAAAAGTATATACGACAAAGCCAAATTTGTGGCGCTGATTAAACAACATACTGGAAGCGGTGCCGAAATCAATGAGGTTGAAGAGAGGACAGCAAAAACTATAACTATCGCAACTTAAGAAAAAGAAACAGAAACAGGAAGAGGAAAACAGAAAGAACATTTTGAAAGGGATATATCTTAGAATGGTGTTCGACGTGAGGTGGAAATGTATGCATTACAAAATCACAGAAACAACACGCTAAAATGTTTGTCTTGTTTCTATGCAGATGCGGATCAGCAGCACACACACCACACACACCACCACCACCACTACCAACAACAACAACAACAAACACACACACCACCACCACCACCACAAACACCACCAGCAAACGCACACATACACAAAAGTTTTTCAAGAATAAATCTATGTCGAAATAAGACACTCGAGAACTGTTATTAGTTGGTATTATATACAGATCACATCCAATATTGGAAGTGATAAACAAAAATAATAACATGTGCATTTTAATGCAAGAGGTAGTTTAAAAAAGACATCCTTACTTGATGGTGATGGGAGATTTTAATTTTGATGTGATGAACTAGAGGCTGCAGAATGCCAATTAAGAAAATAAATTCATAAATTAGTAAAATAAAAATTACATATAGGGTCTGTAATTGATGATGGCGACATGTTAATGAACCCACGAGAAGAGAGGCCGTGATAATCCTCATGGATCTGAATGTAACAAATGAGGAAAATATGTCAGGCGATCTTACTAGAATATGTACACAATTCCTATAGGAAAGAGTGATATCTCGTATGAAGTTTTGAAATTGTATGCCATGCCATGATTAACTAACTCAAGAAATTAAAAGGTTGGAAGTGTTATGACAATGTAAACTTTTGATTGGAAGTGTTATAGAAATGTAAACTTTAGACTGGAAGTGTTATGATAATGTGAACTTTAGACTGGAAGTGTTATGATAATGTGAACTTTAGAGGTGCTAACGAGGAACTGTCTTGAATGGCCGGATTGAATTGAATGCGGATGTAAATTTATATTAAGATTATTTTAATGGAAATGAAAGATACCAACAAAATCTGTTAATTTGGAAAGAAAAAGCAACTTTTGATTCCCAAGGACAGCGAAATAAAAGAAAAATTTTAATTTTAGAACTCTCTAGCGCAGGCCATAAAAGATCTACAGAACACCATCAAATCCAGTAGGAAAATGAACGCTTTGTTTTTACGTAATGTATATGAAGAAGAATTAACAAAGACTGGTGAAAGAAGAATCCGAAAGGTAACCTGGCAATATATACATAGGAAATCTAACACAACACTAAGTACTGATGATCTAACAGTATCACATATTCAGCCAATAGAAACGATATCGAAATTACAGGCCCTTCGGTCGTATTTCACCTTGGAAATACCAGTAAGAAATCACTTAGTTAATTTTGCAAAATTGAATTCACTTTTAAGCCATAAGCTATACAGGTTCATATCTGGCAGATCTACAACCCTCCAATATATCTTTTGCTAGACACTCTTATATGTGATCACGATGAAATCAATTGCATGTCACAATCCGAGGAAATTAGCCTCATCTCGGCCACATTCTAAATGAGGAATTGTTTGATGAAAGATAAGAAAATGTATTGTAAAAATGTTAAATGTATGTGAAGTTACAATACAAAGTAATTTGATGGGAAAACACCAGTTAAATGCACAATATATATACGAATATAATTTTGAACATGGTCAAATAGTCCCAAGAATTTACAATCAACAATTGAAACTATCAACAAATGCCATTTTACATCAACGTCTTTTTGTCCTCTGAGTTATCAAACTGATTTGTTGAAATTGTTTTGTATTAAATAACCCGAGAAGTACATATGTTCCTGCGTTAACAGATATAACAACCCGTTTAATGATAAACTGATGACCTCATTCCTAAAATCCTCGAGTTTCGTTGTCTATAATAACCAAACAATAAGTCAATAATCAATCAATACAAATACATTCAAGTTAGACATAGGTAGACAGTGCCTTTGAATATTTAAATGTGATTATCTTCGTGAATGTGTTATGTTCTGAAACAATTCTGTAAAATAACTGGATACTGGGACATTGTATAAATCAGGACATTAGTGCTAACTAAATGACTCTATACCAGAACGATATCAAACCTGTCATGATCGGATCTTACTCCTAAGCATAATCAAACAATAATATAGGATATTTAGAACTCGTGAAATAATAAATATTTCCTTACAAAAACGACAAGGAACAATTAAACGACAACGACGACGACGACGACGACGACGATGATGATGATGATGATGATGATGATGATGATGATGAGGTTAATTCTATCATCGGCACAACTCTTCTACATTGTATATGAAAATAGCACTGAGTGAAAATGTTATTTTATTTCTTACATTTCAGAGCAATATATATAGATAATTATAGTAATATCAACGAAAATCTATTACAAAATTTACCAAAAATCAGTTAATTTCATAAGCCGACGCAAATATAGAGATAATTTTCATTTTTGTACCTTCAACTGCTAAATATTTTTATTATTAGAAAAATAAAGCCTGAAGAATTATGTTGTTTCCTGATAGCAGAATTTCGTAATCAAAGTTAGACCGCGTTAGTGTACGCTTACTGCGGTATCGCTTCAGCCCCTGGATTGAATCAAATGTTCACGATATCTGAAAACTATCGAAGTTAAACAAACAATATCCATTAGAGAATACATGAGCGGAAAATAATTATGGCGGAAATTTTGGAATGGTGCCCCGGCGATTTTTGATGCCGTCGCCCGACAACGCTGTAGGAGTTACTTCCCTTCATTAGTATAATTTTGTGTACTGTTACACATCAGATTTCAATTTTTTTATTAAAAAAAAAATCTTCATTATCGTCATGTAGAGATACGGTTATATAAAATCCATTGACATAAGTTCCTATATCTGGCAGTGAAAACTCCACGCAATAAAAATGATTTTCGTTCATTTGACACAGTGAAAAATAGGGACATTTATTACAAAATCACATGTGTTAATATACATTTTTGGCTTATTGAAATAAAAACCTTTTCAAGAGCAAAATCAGAGATTCAATAAATGTGTTCATACGCTAAATAAAAAAGGAAGAGCTCTTTCGTGACGGTAGAGGTAATACTCAGTGTGTTGTTGTATGATATACATGTAGTGCAGACGGGAAAGTTATTAACATTATGTTGTAAAAAGTGAGGTAGTAGATTAGACAGGTGTAAACCATTGGCGCAGAGTTTAAATAAGATAACGAAAATTTATTGATATAAGGTTGTGGTACAGGCATGTGAAGGTCATTGGCATTGAAGTTTATAGTAGTGACGCGTGAAGGTCATTGACATATAATTGAAGTAGAGTTGTAATGTAGTCGAACAGACACGTGAAGGTCATTGACATAAGGTTGTACTATAGACACGTGAAGGTCATTGACATGAGGTTGTAATATAGACATGTGACGGTCATTGACATGAGGTTGCAATATAGACACGTGAAGGTCATTGACATAAGGTTGTACTATAGACACGTGAAGGTCATTGACATGAGGTCGTAGTTCAGACACGTGAAGGTCATTGACATAAGGTCGTAGTTCAGACACGTGAAGGTCATTGGTATAAGGTACTTAGTAGTACACTTGTAGTAAAGACACGTGAAAACCATTGACAAAAAAAAAACATGTGAAAATCAACGACAAAGGACAAACATATGAAAGTTTGCTTATGCACCAAAATTCGCCTTACACTCCTTAAATGATCTGGGCCAAAAACTAACAGGGTTTCTAGATTTGTGTTTTAAAATCTTATACAATTTGGAATACATACGAAAAACCTTGTACATTTCACAATCCGCTGATTGATTATACTTACTAATACTTTATTTCATCTTTTTATTTGTTGCTTCTTCTCTCGATATTTTAATGCTTTTTCAGACGATCATGATGACCTTTTCACAATATGCTTTGTCAGCAAGTTGTACCAAAATCTTGCAATAAAATAATTTTGTCTATTAACCAACACAGCATGAAAGTATTTCCAGGTCAAAGATAAATTACAACTGATAACTGAAACAATGTGTGTACGTTGCTTTCACCAAGGACGTATAATACAAATTATATATGTCACTGCTTTCATACAAATGTTTATCTATGTTCGCATTTGATTCTAAGATCGGTTTCAATCTGGACTATATATATTAAGCTTTGCACGCACATGTAATGATTAAAAAACAATTACATATTTACAGCAGTCTATAAGTGTTTAAATACATTATTTCCTCTTTTTTTTTCAATGTTTTAAAAGTGCTACTCCAGTTACAGTCGAAATAAAAGATAATTTCAATGAAAATTAAAAATTGAAAAAGGGTTCTCTGTGAAAATTAAAAATTGAAAAAATGTTCTTTGTTTGTATCCGAGCACAAAAATCAATACAGACAATCGATTTTGTGAATTTCGTTGATTATCATTATCCTTTGTTCTCATCAGGTGCGCCAGGTGTGCGCGTTTCAATATTGAAAAATTAGCTGTGCTAAATTCGCATGATTTTTTTGTTTCCATTAGGATTTTCTAATAAAGAGTAATTGAAGACGATGAGATATCTAATTTCTTAGTTTATTTTATATATGATTTTATAAAATAATATATTGGAGACGGAAACAATGATTGCTCCCTTCAACGTGTGTAAGTACTTCCGGGTCACGGAGAGGCTGCAAGCGTTGTAATCTTATTCATCTGTTGGATGCAAATAAGCTGTTATTGACCACAATGTGAGGTTTTTGAGGAACCAAATATGTAAAAGGTAAGACATTTGATTATTAATTAGCAT